TTTGAACCATGCAGTGTTACCCTGCTCTGTTCTGACGACTGCCTCTTGGTCCAAGGATAGGTTTCGCATTAGCATGATTAAATGTTCTGGGATTCCCATTCTTCTCAGAGTCAGCCAGAGTTTGTTATGATCCACACGGTCAAACGCCTTTGCATAATCAATGAAACACAGATAGACATTCTTCTGGTATTCCCTCCTTTCAGCTAAAATCCATCTAACATCAGCTACAATACCCCTAGTACCACGACCCCTTCTAAACCCAGCCTGGACTTCCCACAGTTCTCTATTTTAAAGCACAGATGAGTTTAGGGGGCAGGGAGTATAAGTCAATGAGAGAGAAACAGCCCTGCAGAAATAACCAGAATGTTGACACAATGTGAAGAATGTAGCCAGTGTTGCTGATTACGCTTCTTATAAACTGGGATTAAGTTTTGCTGTGCTATGTCCACTCCTCCAAAAATAAAAAGAATCCTAATTTTATTTTAATAAAAAAAGAAAAGCTTTGATCTCTATGATCCTTCTCTCTTGGTGAATGACATAGAGTCACTGTTTTCCCAAAGTACTCGCCAAGGCCTTGACCTTTTTCTCCATGGCTGGGGCAAGGCTCAAAGGAGGGGCTGAAAGAAGTTTCTGGAATGCAGGCAGGGTGGCTAGTCCCTGCAGGCTGCACAGTCTGGTGCCTTGCCCTGATTTAGCATCTTCTCCGCAACCATCTGACTACCACACCCAGGCCCCCTAACGCTCCCATTCAACCCAAACCACTGTCTGGCCTCTACTGGCCCTGATGGCTCATAGCCAGAGCACCCCAGGCATTTCGTGGGTTAGGATTTGAGTCCAAGGAGGACTGCTTTCAACAGCAGGTCTAATTTGGGGGATACAGTCTCACCTGGTCTCTCTCATGACCTAGACTTGATCCTGGCGTGCCAGGTGGGGGGTTCTGGGGCCATGTGCTACCTCTAATTCTCTTTCCAATGACTCTGATGAAAAAGGGCTCTCTGTCCAGCTGTGGGCAGGGACAGAGGTCAGATTGGCAAATCCCATCTCTTACAGAATCTATAGCCTCAGAAACCACTGGGAGCACTAGCGACAGTAGGACCGCCACCTTAAGCAAAGGAACTCCGGAAGGAGAGGGAATACAAAGAGAGGCATGGGAGCCCCCAAAGGCTTGTTTCCCTCTTTGTCCCCCCAGTATTAAGGCCTCCATTTCACAGGCCACAATGGCTGGCAGATCTGACGGCTCAGAGAGGGTGGAAACCTGGGCATTCACATGGCCCTGGAATTTAAAGATTTAGTAACTGGTTCAGCAGGCATTTGCGGGCAAAAGGTTAGTAGGGGTCTCTGGTTTCATCCCTCAGCCTGTCCATACAAAAAACAAGGAAACCTGCTGATACTCTTCTGACTCACAGCAGCGCTCCAGGGCAGAGCCGAACTGGCCCTAGCTTCCACAGCTGGAATCTGGAAGGAAGGAGAATGCCACATCTTTCTCTGTGGAGCCACTGGGGTCTTACAGCTGCTGACTTTTCAGTTAGCAGCTGAGTGTTTAAGTACTGTGACACCGGGGCTCCAGGGATGGCGGCCGCTCAACCACAGCCCCCTCAGGGGGCTTCCGGCAACCCACAATTCTACAAGGTTGAAAGAAAGATGGAGATTCTTCTGTGAGAGGAGGTCCAAACCTTTTGCCTTCTCAAGGTGGACTGTGGTCAGTTTCAGGACCCACTTAAATCGACTGTTAACTCCTTCAAGGAGATGATGTGTGTTCTGCCTCATGGAATCCCCAGTCCTGACTACAGAGGTTGTAGTTGTATAAATGCAGGCTGACCAAAGCTAGAACACAGGTGGTTGTGGGGATCACTAGGGGATTGAATGACAAGACTCCCAGAGAGGTGAAGAGACTAAAGGCAGTTTGAGAACTGAGCCCTTCCTTCCACTTAAGGGAGGAGAGTTCCACTGCCCAAGCTCTTAGGGGGCTAGGAGTTCCCCTGTGCCAATCATGCCGGGTTTAGGGCTGTTGTACATAGGGTTGCTAGGAGTGGCAGGCAACTTGATGGCCCATAACAACAACAACAACAGGAGTTCCCCAGGAGGCAGGGTGACACTGCTCCAGGAAGCACATGTCAAAAGGCCTGGTACTCCCCCTCGTCCTGGGGAGGTGGGAGAAGTTTGTGGGAGCAGTTTGTGGACAGCATCAGGAAGCCAAGCTGCCAGAGAGCCAGGCTTCTGCATTCCCCAGATACCAATCAGGAACCCTCCAGGGTGGCCTGGCTGTTAATCAGCAACAATACAGCTTCTCTGGCCGGCATTCTGGCCACGCCCACAGAGCAGAGCAGCACCTGGAGTAGGGCCTGGGACCCCGACAGCGCCATGCTTGCAGGAACCAAGTGTTGAATGGTCAGGTATTTTGTAAGCTGCTTCAATCGCCTTGATAGCCTGAATCTGGCCATGGCATAAATTGGAAAATGCTACAGTTACAGTAAGTGGTCATTTTTTTGTGTGTGTGTGGTGGTGGTTTCCAATTTTCAGAGACTGTTGTTAAACATTAACCAGCACATCACCGGGAAGAGCTCACTGAATCAAATCAGACCTTGGGGGATGGCAGCCAGTGCGAGCCAGGGAAGCAGGCTGCAGAAGAGCTGGGGGCAACCCTTCCTTCCAGCACAGGCTCCTTCTCTAGTTTCTAGTTCCAGAAAGCTGTCGCCGAGTCACCATGCTCCAATCAAGCAGGATGCCCCGCAGGCCCCTGAATCAGCATTCTGCACTCAGGCCTGAGGGGCCAGCACCCAGGCCAGACTGCTGCACACGGCCATGCCCAGGAGAAGATGGGGAGTGGACAAGGCCCTTCTGTCTCCCGCAGCTTATTTTGCTTTGGTCCCTGGGTGCATCCCCACTCGGCCTCCACCTTGTCCTAACAATTTCTCTCCTATGCATTCAGCTCCCAGATCTCACAAGCTCCCTGCTTTAATTAAGCTGGCCTCCACCAAGAAGCCTTCCTGATTAACAGTGTCCAAAGCTGCAGCCCAGAGTCCAAGCAAAAGAAAGCCTAGCTGGCACCTACCTGGCTGGGCCCCCTCAGGCTCATCACACCCTGGGGAAAACAGAAACACATTGTAGCCCTGCTTGAAGGGCCCAGGGAGGGCACCCAAAGGGTGCGACCCAGCCTCCCTAGTTCTGCCTTGTGGTATGACTTCACAGGGCAGTGTTAGGAAGGAGGTCCCACCACATCAGATGTTCCCCATGCCCAACCAGATCATCTGTGTAAGACTGAGGTAAGAAAGCGCTGGCTCTTAAGTGACCCTCCTGTGCTCATGTACACACACAATTCCCAGTGTGTGTGGGAGAAGCCAAGGCCAAGACCTGCCACCAAGACCAGGGCAGACAGCAGGGACACAGGTATGACCTAGACCAGGGCAGACAGCAGGGACACAGGTACAACCCAGACCAGGGCAGACACCAGAGACACAGGCACCATAGGAAACATCTTCAACAGTGGGATAAGTCTTCCAACTGCCCCACTTTCTTTAAGCTCAGAGACTGGGAGAGATAGTGCTCCCTACTGCTTCCTGTCCAATGCCTATAGACCCATATGTTCCAGTCCCATCTCTAGCACCCTACTCAGCTCCAGAGACCACAGCCCACCTGTCTCCCATTGCATTTCCTGCTGCCTCACAGAGTCAAGCTTCCACCCTCACCACTTAGAGCTGTGTGGCCCCACCAGCAAGGACAGACAGCCATCAGAGAAAAGGCAAAGGACCTGATGAGTTTCATTTTCCTCAACAATAGAGCCCAAAGGGTAAGAACTAGCTAACCATCAACATCTGAACCTATCATTCAGTCCAGTCCCTGCTCCTGGCTTAGGTGGGGTCCTGCCTCCTGAACAGGAGTGAGAGTCCACTGCGGCAGAGGCCCCTGAAGGAGCACTCCTGTGAGGACCCTAATGCTCCCTATTCACAGAAGGAAGATCTGCCTGCTGCAGACTTCCCCAGAGGTGGGTTTCCCAGGAAAGGCAGGCATCCTCCCTCCTCAGAACGTGAGGGGGTGAAAGAGCTGGTGACAGACCAAATGGGGAGGAGGCACTGAGGAAAAAAAAAGAATGACCAATTCTTGAGGACCACTTTATCCTGGCTCAAACCACACCCGAACATTCCCTCACTATCTCATTAATCCTCTCAGAGAGGAAGAAGCAGGTTCAGAGAGGTCAAGTGTCTAGTCCAAAGTCATTCAGCTGCTAAACAGCAGGGCTGAAATCAAACCTAAGGCTTTCAAAGCCATTAGACCACACTGCCTCCCTTATACCTGCCCTGTGGAGATGATGGACTCATAGGCCAGGACAGAGTTACAGAGGTGATCATAATCTAGTCTGTGACCTTACAGAACGCATGTGTCCTCAGAAGCATCAGGGCCAGGATTCACCCGCTCCCCACAACACGAGTGGCCACCAGCCCCCTCCCCACAGCACAAGCGGCTCCACCAGCCCCCTCTCCACAGCATGAGAGGCTCTACCAGCCCCCGCCCCACGAATAAGCGGCTCCACTAGCCCCTGCCCCACAACACGAATGGATCCACCAGCCCCCTCCCCACACATAAGCGGTTCGCCAGCCTCCTGCCCACAGTACTGCCTTCCCCAGGAGGAGAGGCTGCAATGCTCACTGTGCTCACCTGCCACCTCCACAATCTGGTGCCGGGCAATGTCGTAGTAAGGGTCGTCCCACTTCAGATGTGTGCTGGGTTCCGGGGAGCTGCATTTGGAATCATCTGAGGATCACAGAAAAATGACAGGTCAGTCCCAGGGGCTGAAGCAGTGTCCCTGAGACACTTATGCTGCTTGGCACTCCACCCCCAGAAAGCCTTATGTTTCTGCCCTGCCCCACCCTGGGGCTAGCCTGCTTGCATCCCTTCTGCCCTCCCAGAATCTCCTTTCAGCAGGAAGGGGGTCTCCCGTGGCCCCTAACATCTGGTGGTGCCCACCTGACTTGGGAAAGTCCGGCATCTCATCTGAGGGCCAGTTCTTCTCATCAATGGAGGCCAGCTTCAGCTGGTTCAGAGCCTGGCTGGTGTCATCTAAGGTCAGGTCATCCTGCAGATCTGAGAGTGGGTCCATGTCCAAGCCTGCCCCTCACAACCCGACCCTATAGAACCTGAAGAGACAACTGGACGAAAAAGCGGGAGATGGCAGGTCACTGACACCTTCCTTTCCCCTCCCACGACCTGCCCAGTCCAAATCTTCCTGCCCCCATCTGCTCTTCCCCAGGTTTCTCGATCTCCATTCCTCAACACTTCACATCCCTGCCAAGTGCTCCATGCAGCCATGGGTTCTCCTGGCTTCACAGTGCAGGCATACTGCCAGGAAAGGCAGCTGGGCCAGAGGATGGCACAGCTCAGCGCCTCCCTCAGGTCCTCCAGCTGGACAGAGGAGAGCTGTGCCAGGGCCTGCCTTGCCCACCAACCACCTGGCTCTGCCATGTGGCCCCAGCTGCAGAGGGTAGACGTTCACATCCTTCTCCCTCAGGGTCCTGCAGACCAGCTGCTTCCTGGGATCCCACAGTGACAGGGACAGATATGTTGCAAGAATCTAGGGAACACAGGAATGCTCCTGACCCCACGTCAGCTGTAACACTGGCTACTTCATCTTCCATCCCTGTGCAGCAGCAGAGAAGGTAGCCACAGACCACAAGGACCCAGAAAAAAAAGGTTATGGCTGAGAGGCCAAGGAGGAATTCCTTTGACATCAACCAGCAACAGGCGATCGAATTTGCCTATCAGTCAGAGCAATCTGCTGGGCCCCAGGGGCACCCAAGTCAAGGTCAACAGAGTGCCCTACGGGTTGGGGAGCACAGATGGGAAAGAGAGAGGCCTCCAAGTGCTGAGATCCACAAAAAAAGGACATCAGCTGCACTCAGCAGGAAGGAAGAAGTGCTGTCTCTGAGGATGTGGCTGCATGCAGCCCCAGGGCAGACACCTATAGTCCTCAGCACAAATAGGAAGCAAATTCTATCCCGAGGGAGGGGAGTTTCCATTCAGCTCACTCAGTCCAACCTCTGACAAGAGGCTGCTTCAAGGGTGGCTGCATTCTTGGAGCTCAGAAAAGGGACATATATGGTCAGAGAATTAGCAAGACAGATAAGACGACGCTGGGGGCGGGTGGAGAGAAGAGGGAGAGAGAACTGCCATTGGAGATCCAGACCCTGAACACCTCAGGGCTCTGAGGCTACGTGACAACCTCCAGCAAGCATCACAGCTGAAGTTTCTGGATGGCACCAGCTCACTGTGCCTAGCAACAACCACCCTGTTTCCAGGGCAACCACATTGATTCAGTGGGAAAAACTTAAGCTCTCCAGCCAAAAGCAAGGGGAAAAAATCACCCTTTTTCTCCTCTTTTTCCCTGGCTTTAAGGACCCAGGTGATGTCGTGCTTCAGGTATTTGGCTGCAAACCAAAAGGTCAGTGGTTGAGACAGACTGACCCGCCACTCCAAGGCAGAAAAATGAAGAAGCTGTCCGGTTATGTAAAGATTAAGAGCCTACCCTGTGGCAGTTCTCTGTCCTACTGCCTGCCTCACTATGGGTTGGAATTGACTCATCAGTAGTGGTGTTTTGGCTTCCCCAGTCTTTTCCAGAGGCTGGTGGTACAGTGAGTTAACAAAAGGTTAACAGTTTGAATACATTAGCTACTCCATGGGAGGAAATGAGGCAATCTGCCTCTATTGAAATTTATGGCCTTGGAAACCTGCTGGAGGATTATCAAGATTCACATCTTGACATCAATGGGTTGGTTTGGATATGCACTCATCCACTATCTTTGCTTCTCTCACAAATTAAGACTCCTTCCTTAAACAAAAGGAAGATGACCTACTTGCACTTGAGGTCTATTTCTTTCTCTCAGTGAGGACTGTTGTGCCTCTCACCCCTAAAACCATTCTCTAACCCACCAATGGGGGGGCTCTAGTGGCCTAATGGTAAGGAGCTGTGCTATCAACCCAAAGGCATTAAGTTCAAATCCACCAGCTGCTCTGTGGAAGAAAGATGGGCCATCTTTACTGCTTCTGAAAACCTGCTAGAGGGTCAGCTATGGGTCGGTTCTAACTCAATGCTACTAAAACGCATAATACAACCTTCCAATGCAGTGAATCCTCAGTATTAGGGAATCCTCCCTTGATCTATCTACACTACACATTTTTCACCTGAATTCAAGCAGGAGGCTGCAAGGGCATCTCCCTGAACAGGGCCCCAAGCTGGGTAACAGGGACAAAATCCAGCTCAAAGCAATCCCTTGAGATCTGAGCCTTCTCCCCATCTGTCCCTTTTGTTTTGTCACTGCTCAAGTACCAGATGCTTCTTCAGCCCGCCCACCTGCCTTTCCAGAGAAACCTTTCTCCATAGAGTAGGTGCCTGAAATGATGGGAGAAGCCTGGATGAGGTATACAGAGAACTGACTTAAGAGTTCTGCCTAAGCCACTGAGTTTCAAAGACATGAGGCAAGCCTTTTTCCTTGCTGGCCCTCAATTTCCTCATCTCTGAAAGCCAAAGCTCCTCCCAGAAATACAATTCTCCAGTTTTAAAATACTTGGGCTGAAGTGAACAACAGGATTAGAAGGAGCAGCTGGGAACCGAGCATGTGTGAGGGAGGGAGAAAAGCAGCTGAACTTGTACTCAGCCCCGCCTCCACTCTGTCCTTCCGACATACCCACTCTCAACTAGAACCTCCTTTTCCAGTATAGCTAGTCACAACTGTTCCACCTCCTCATCAGACTGGCTGCTTTCACCATCCTCCAACCCTGAGCCCCTTCAGGAGAAGAGTTAGAGAAGCCAAAGCTGGTAATGTCTAACAGAGTGGTGCATCAGAAGTGCTCTGGTTTCCTAAGACCCCAGCCACACACAAGGCTCTGCACCAAAGTGGGACAAGTACACACAACTCTAGAGGATAAACCATCAACTTTTAAAAATTTCTGACAAGACTTTTCAGTTTGTAGGTTTCTGCCTATGGGGGGAAAAAAAACAAAAACCAGCACATACATGAAATCTTGCACGCAATTTTGAGGGTCACAGAACCTTTGAGAACTACAATATAAGAACGCCTGCTTTGTTCAGAATATCACTAAGCACACAGTTAATACTCAATGATACCTGTTGAATGACTGAATATACCTGCTTCCTAAATAGGACAGGGAATCTGCATAGGAAAAATAGCCTCTAAGACACCAGGAAATGGACAAACTGTTCTCTCAACTTCACAACAAAACAGGAAAGAACTTACGAATTTTCACTTTACAGTTTCAAAAGAGTGAGAACAAGAAAAAAGTAATTGCTGACAACCATCGGCGTCAAGCTTTTATGGCTCATTGATGTGATTCTCAAGGTTCTCATAGGAAAACACAGGCATAAAAGGGCAAACAAATAGAGCATCTCCCATAAGCTCTTCTGTTCACTACAGATAGCAACTTGACATGGGATTCTAGGGCAGTGGAGAGAAGGCACCTGCTGACAGGGGAGGGGCGATGCAGCTTGCAAACTGCAAAAACCCGAATCCCACCTCAATACGACAACAATCACATTTCCACAGAACTTCAGGGTTTACAAATCTCAGAATGGCTGTAATTATTCTGTTTCACTGATAAAGAAATTGAAAGTGTGGCCTAATAAATAGCAGGGCTGGCCACTTCCCCCAAATCTCTTCTTAGTGCTTGGCCAGATCAGAACGAGATTTCCTCCTCCCACTGGCTTGCTTAAGGACAATGATCAGGCCTTGGGAGGGCTGGAGGAAGACTGTGAACGGGAAGAAGTCTCACTGCAGACCCGAGTTGGGCAGCGGGAAGGACAAGCCCCAGGCCCAATGCTCTCCCTAGAACTCCCTTTTCAGATCTGCTAGAATTCTCCCCATTCCGATCCCATCCTTTCAGATGACCATGGCCAGCTTCGTCCCTTCCCCCACCCCCGCCCAAGGAGACCACCGCGCCCTGCAGCTCACCACGCTCGGGAACTGCTCCCTCTGCCACGCCTGTCAAAGCTCAGCAAACATCCGGCTCCGCGTAGAAATGGGAACCGCCCCCTCCCCGGCTCTCCAGACCTTGCCCCGCAACCACTTCCGCCACACCTCCAAACCACTTCCGGTTCCTCAGAGCCCGCTCTGAAGACGGCCTTCCCAGGAGCCACGCCCACTTCCTGTAGGTGCTGGGCTCGGACTGCGACATAACTGTCCGAGTCGTCTCGCCCAGCAAGAGACGAAGGAAAAAAGTAGTTCCGCTTTCCCGAACACTCGAATCTGTGGTTTATCTCCGGAATCTTACATTCACACTGTCCTCAGACGGAGTTCAGCCTCAAATATACTCCCATGCTCCTGGTCCTGGCCGACAGGGAGATCTGACTCTTGAGAGTCTTTGTTGAGGGAGAAATTTGGAAATTAATGTCTGTTTCCGGGAGGAACTGAGAAGACGATGCTTACATCCGTTGGCATGAGGATGGCTGACCCGGGATGGAGGAGGCGGAGAAGCTTCTCTTGAAAGGAAAGAGGTTGCACTTGGGTGAGTGGCCTGCAATGTCTTCAACCCTCAGCCCTAGCCTGGCTACCCCTAATGCCCTTTGGTCAACTCTCTTTCCCGGTCCCTTCTCTTCCCGATCCCGGAATCCTTCCTCGGAGACCCCCAAAGCCCCGGAGTCCTCTTAAAAATCCCTGAAACCCTTGACGCCCTTTTAAGGCTCCTCCTTAGCCCCACAGATCCCTGACTCCTCGCGGCTAGGAAGCCTGGCGATTACCTTCTCCTGCCTCACGCCTTCTTGGAGTGACAGCACCTCCCCCTTGGCCTCCCCCTCTGCCTTCTTGTCTGCCTGCAGTCCCTGAGCCGGACCCCGAGTCAGGATGGAACCCTTCCGAAGAAGGCTGCCCTCAGGGCTGCAAGAACTTCCCGCTGCAGCCCGACAGAGCCGTGCACGTCCTGAGGAACCTCCCCCGGGGCTTGGCCCTTGGCCCCTCCCTCGCCGGAGAGCAGAGCTTGGGGGTCTGGTGTGTCGGGGAAGCTTTGCTGCCAGGCCTGCATTGGGGGCCGCTGGAGGAAAACGCTGCCCCTGAGAAGAGCGAGCAGGTGGAAGCCCGGCAGGAGGAGGTACAGGAGCACCTTCTTACTGTGATTGAAAACTTGGGGCCGCTCATTTGTTTCTGGACAGCGCTCTGGGACGTGGAAGAGAATCTCCCAGACAAGACAGACAGACAAGATGATTTTAGTTCTTTTTCTTTAGGACGGCCTCATCGCCCTGAGTAGTGTTTTAAACAGGATTAGCTTAGTGTGAGCAATGGCAGCAAAGGTTTTTGGAAAGGACAAGACGTGGGTCTCATACCAGCCTTATCACTTCCTTTAATTCATGTCATTTAAATGTCATGCTTCACTTAACTCATCTGTAAATAAAGGGGCATAATGGCTATCTCAAAATTATTTTGGAGGCTAGAGAAGATAAACAGACCCCTGGTGGCCGTAATAGTTGAGGAGTCATGGTTGCCTTCAAAACGGTTGGCATTTGGGATCGATCCAGGGCCTCTGAGGGAGGAGGACTTGGCAGTCTGCTACCATAATGATTATTGTGTGCTTGGAGTTGGAACTGATCCAAAGCTGACCCTCCAGCGGCTTTTCAGAGGCATTAAAATATCACAGGAAGAGATTGTTCATCATTCTGTGGAGCAGCAGGTGGATTCGAACAGCATGCCTTTGGAGTTACAGTGCAGCCCCCAGATTTCCTACTATAATGATTACAAACTAGCAAATCCCATGAGACACTTCTACTCTGTCACATATGGTCCCTATCAGTAGAAAGAGAAAATCGGTGTTCTCCTTGCTACTGTTTTTGTTTTGTTACTGGAAAGCAGTAGCTCGTTCAGTTTAGTAATTCCGCACACCCTGGGGAAGAGATGAAGGCACAGGTTTTAGTCTTCACTAATGAGGAGTCAGACAGCACAGCCCCATAGAGACAAAACCAGTGGGAGAGGCCCCTGACCTTGCATGGGCTTGCCCTCTGAACCCACCCAGGAGAGGTTCCATCCAGCTGCTTTAACTTTTTATTTTCCTACCTTGGTTCCTGCTAACACATTTGAGAAGGATATTGGTTGGTTTCTTTCAGGACCTGCCACTAGACTCCTGGCGAGACATCTTTGCCTGTGAGCTGAGTTCAAGCTGGAGCAGGTAAGCTATAAGTAGTAAAGGGCATTTGTTGGAGGTTTTCTGTTGTGACATGAGAAACCCTGATGGCTTGGTGGTTAAAGTGCTTAGCTGCTAATAAAGAAATTTCAGCCTACCAGCTACCTGTGAGAAAGCACTGACAGACCATTTCTGCAAAGCTGTACATCCCTGAAAGCTTCACTATGTCCAACAGGGTCACGATGAATCAGAATGGACTCAATAGCAGTGGGTTTATTCCTTTATTGTGATTTGAGGTGTGGCCTAAGTCGGGCTGTAGTTCTCCCTCTGGGGGGTTGCTCAGGGCTTGGCTGGCTGGAAGCTGAGGTGGTCAGGGAAGGCCACTTAAAGAGAGTTTCCAGCCCTTGCTCTGCTTTGCAGTTTGGTGCAGCAGGGCAGACAGGAGAGTGAGGGAAACGTGGCCCCGGTGTGGATCAACAAGAGGCTCCACCTGCAGGTGTATCGGGCCGTGTTGCCAGGCTTCGAGCTACTGCTGTGGCCCCAGCCTGCCTCCAAGGACCTGAGGCCCGTGCAGCCCAACTCGGAGGAGGAGGAGGCAGCTGTGACTGTGGTGACGGAAGTGGAGTCTGCTGTGAGGCAGGAAGGGGACTCCCCAGGGGACGACACCACAGGTATGTGTTGAGCACTGGCTCCTCCAAATTATCACCAGTACAATCCATAAGGGAGACAGAGCCACATTGATGGCTTATCCTGGTAGGGGAGAACCTTGCAGAGTTTAGGGAGCCTTTCTGAGAGCAAGGGCAAAGTTGGGATATTTATTGAGAACTTGAAGTCTGGGTTAAGACGGGTCTGGCAGTGCAGGACTGGAAAAGGTCCAGACATAATTTAACCTTGCTGAACAGAGGAAGGCTAGGATTTTTAGGCAAAAGATTCAAAGAGTCTTGGGACATAAACTGTCATTTGAGGTTTTCTGCTGGAAGAGGGACTGCACTGTAAGATTATCTGTAACTCCTGTCTTCCTAAGCAAGTTTCTGGAATGCTAAGGTCATTTGATGAAGACAGTAAACTGTTTACTAAATTTGCATTCTCTTAAGTGTTTTCCTCAGGGGAGGAGGGAGTTTTTTAATCTCTCAGAGGAGCTGAGCAAGGCAGGTCTTAACTCAGGTCCTGAGGGAAAATGAGGCGACCTTTATGATGCCCTTACTCCAGGAATTAAGCAGTTGACTGGGACGCTGTGGTTTCTGAAACTGGACATGAAGAGGGAGAGTGTGTGTGTGGGTCATACTTCAGAGAAGAGATTTCTATCGTTGTCCCCGCTAAAGTTTCAGGACTGGGTAGAAGTGTTTTCTGCTCCCAAACTCCACTAACCCCAAAACCCCACTTGCCTTGCAGATCTTGGTCACCCCAGACTCCAGGTGAAGAGTCCAGTGAGCCCTGGCCTTCAGCCCGAAGCGCAGGACCCCTTTTCCATGGGTAGCCCACCACTCAACCCCTTGCATGATAGCAGTGTGGACGAAGAGGACCCAGCCGAGATACAGACGCCACCTGAGCCTCCTAGCAGCCCAGCTGTCCAGCAGGGCTCAGAGAGCAGCGAAAGCAGTCCTTACTCTTCTTCCAGGGACAGCCAGCTCGATGGCCATGTGACCAAGAAGTTCTGTAGCCCCAGGAATCAGTGTCCGCTCAAGGCGCAGACCTCAGAGCCCCAGGACCAGCAGGCCGACATACCTCTGCACCCTGACTTGCGCGCAACCTCTCAGAGCCCCCCTGTTCTGGCTGGCAGCTCCTCAAAGCAGGGACGGCGGTACCCTTGTGGGGAGTGTGGCAAGGCGTTTCTGCAGCTGTGCCATCTCAAGAAGCACGCGTTTGTGCACAAAGGCCACAAGCCTTTCCTTTGCACCGAGTGTGGCAAGAGCTACAGCTCAGAGGAGAGCTTCAAGGCCCACATGCTGGGCCACCGCGGCGTGCGGCCCTTCCCCTGCCCACAGTGTGACAAGGCCTATGGCACCCGACGGGACCTCAAAGAGCACCAGGTGGTCCACTCTGGCGCCCGGCCCTTTGCCTGTGACCAGTGTGGCAAAGCCTTTGCCCGCCGGACCTCCCTGCGACTGCATCGCAAGACCCACCAGATGCCAGCTGCCCCTGCCCTGTGCCCCTGCCCTGTGTGCGGGCGGCTGCTGGCCAACCAGGGCTCCTTGCGGAACCACATGCGGCTCCACACAGGGGAGAAGCCCTTCCTGTGTCCACACTGTGGCCGGGCCTTCCGCCAGCGGGGCAACCTGCGCGGACACTTGCGGCTGCATACAGGGGAGCGCCCCTACCGCTGCCCACACTGCGCCGAAGCCTTCCCCCAGCTGCCGGAGCTGCGGCGGCACCTCATCTCCCACACCGGGGAGGCCCACCTCTGCCCCGTGTGTGGGAAGGCCCTCCGAGACCCCCACACGCTGCGTGCCCACGAGCGCCTCCACTCGGGGGAACGGCCCTTCGTGTGTCCACAGTGTGACCGTGCTTACACCCTGGCCACCAAGCTGCGGGAACACCTCAAATCACACCTGGCTGACAAGCCCTACCGCTGCCCCACCTGTGGCATGGGCTACACCCTGCTGCAGAGCCTCAAGCGGCACCAGCTCAGTCATGAGCCCAAGGGGCCCTCCGGGCCACCTTCGGGGCTGCCTGCTGCTCCTGAAGCCACCGTGGTGCTACTGAAGACTGAGTCCCGCCTGCTGGACACACCTGGCGAGCGGGCAGCCTCCCCAGCCAGAGACATCATTGAGGTCACCATCTCTGAGAGCCAGGACAAGTGCCTTGTGCCAGAAGAGCCAGGCGCCCCCCACAGCCTGATGGTCATCCATAAAGACATGGGCTTCGGAGCCTGGGCGGAAGTGGTGGAGGTAGAGACGGGCACCTAACACCCGCCGTCCCCCAGGGCTCACAATATAAAGACCTCTCTTACCACCTGCCGAGTGTTTGCATCTTCTTTCCATCTGAGTTGCTTAATAGAGAGTCAGCTGTGAGAAGCAGATTGATGGCCTCGCTTCCCAAGTCCCAGGGTGACACAAATGTTCAGCAACTAATTACAGAATTGGTAGTTTGATCTCATCCCGAGGTGCTAGGCCTGGGGAAAAAAAGTCACAACCTTAGGGAGCTGTGGTAGTCTTGTGGCAAGAAACTGTGCTGCAATCCTAAGGGTGCATGGTTCGAATCCACCAGATGCTCTGCTGGGGAAGGAGGGGCAGTCTACCCCTGTGCCAGTCAGATCCAATTCAGCGGTACACAACAAGGAAAAAAGTGTCACAGCCTTGAAAATCCAATGACACATTCCCGCTGTGCACATGCTGGCTAATAGATTGTTGTTGTTATTGTGTACCATCAAGTTGGAACTGACCCATAGCTGATCCTCTGGCAGATTTTCAGAAGCAGTTAGGAGCTTGCCCATCCTCCTCCCGTAGGGCAGCCGGTAGAGGTCACCGGATGTCTTCCCACACTACAGGGTAAGACCACTTCTGAATTAGAACGCTTTCTTGATATCTCATAGAACACAGGTTCCAGGAACACCACAGGTGCTTGTTCTTACAACACATTGCTGAGTGAGGGACTGAGGCGATCAGGTAGCTGGCACTGCCCCTGCCCAGCCCAGGTGCCTACAGCTGTGTAGGCACACCCACCATACTCCTTCAGAAAACAGTTCTTTTTTAAACCAACTTGAAGTGACTTTTGAGAGTTGAAAAGCCTAAGCCTGAATTAGCTCCTGGCTCTCAGATGTGCCTTGTCGCATCTAATCCTAGGCTCATGGTTATTTTTTGGTGGCCTTTCTCACCCCCTAAGTACTCTGAATTGGACATGAAGTGCAATCAGAGTGCTCCTTGGAAGCGAGGATGGCCTCACATACAGTGGGCATCAGAAAGGACCAGTCCCTGGAAAAGGACAGTGCTTGGAAAAGTAGGTCAGTGAAAGAGAGGGACACTGCCAAGGAGGTGAATTGCTGCTGTGGGCTTTACAGCAGAGACTGAGGGCACAGAATCGGATGGGTTCAGTCTTGTGTGCCTGGGCCCCATAAATCAGAGCTGACTTGCCAGCACCTAACAACAGGGCTTTGGGGAAGCAGGGGGGTGACAGACTGGGAGGTGGTGAGGGCCAGAGCTGGATTTGTCTTCACACTGACCTCAGGGCAGCCCTGCTCAGAGAAAGGGTGATGGTTGGCCTCTGTTCTGTGTCTTCTGTGGGCCCATCCTGCACATGGTGCTGGGACACAACCAAGACAAGACAAAGGCGGTGTGCTGTAGAGAGTCCATTTCTCTGGGAGCTGCTGTCCACAAGGACAGCAATCACTAAACAGTGTGGTGGTTCATTTGCCCTGGGGCATCAAGGAAGGTGCCCTTGAGGAAGTGCTAATAAACGGGCCTTCTGTGCGCCAGGGTGCTCTGGTGGTGCAGTCTGCAGGGAGGTGCACTGCTAACTCAGAGGCCACGTCCAGAGGCTCTGGGAGAAGATGCACAATCTCTTAGGTACTTGTTGCCTTGGAATTGCAGTAGAGGATTGGCTATGAAGCAGTTATGCTTAGACAGCAACGAGGTTGTTTGTTTTGGTTGTGTTGTTTAACTATGGGCCATGCTTTACATGACTATGTAATCCTCAGTTATAGATGAGGACCTCAAGTCAGTAGCTCTTCTTTTTTCTTTTTCTTCGAGCAAGTTCCCATTGTCTTCTAGCTCGCTGATGTTCCATATCTTCTGTTCTGCTTTTTTGTCCCTCCAGCATGTTGGAAAATTCTGCCCTTCCAGTCTTAATATTCTGTATCCCATGTTAATGCATTTAGGTTGTTTCTAGTACTGTGGTGGTTGTACCCTCTTAACCTGTGCACTCAGCTGCCTCTCGTGCCAGCAGAGACTTGGATGAGTAGGTGTGAGGCGGGGAAGGTACATCTGAGGGGCTAAGAAGTGGCTTGAGTGGTGTTGAGAATGAGTGGGAAAAAGACACAGGAGTGGGGTCATGCAGGGCCTGGGGCCGTGAGCTTGGACCTCATCCTAAGATGCTGAGGAGTTCTGAAGGGTTTGGAGTAAGTGTTTGAAAAGATGTTGGCACTTGTGTTTGAAAAGATCCCTGGCTTGGGAGAGCAAGGGTAATTGTAGGGGAATCAATTTGGTTGCTGAGTGACACGGGATAGAGTGGGAGCAGTGGCAGTGGCAAGAAATGAGATCACTCACCCAACAAATCCTTACTGAGCCCCTCCAGCGTGCCCGGCACTGTTCTCGTTGCCTGGGAGACAGTGGTGCTAAAGTGTTTGCTCTTGTAGAGCTTACCGTTCAAGTGGAGGAAGACAGACAATAAACATGTCAGATGATGAAGAGTGATTCAGGGGAAGGGCTCTGATGAGAGTGTGCTTCTACCGGAGGGGGTCAGGGAAGGCCTCTAGCAGTGACCTAGACAATGGGAAAAGTGAACCAGGGTGCAGGCCAGAGGAAGAGCTGGATTCTTCGCAGAGGCCCCAGGAAGGACAGAGACCTTGTGCATTTGGGCAAGGTACAGAATGAGCCAGAGTGTAGAAGGAGGTGGAGGTGGGCCCATGGAGACCCTCCTCCCCATGGTGGTCAGTTCTCTGGGAGGTAGAAGTGATGAGATCCAGGGAGAGAGAGGGGGGTGGGGAAAGGGGGTAAAGAGAGCTGACTTCTGATTCCCAGACAGAGCTGAACGAGGTAGGTGATGTTAGGGTGGGGCCGAGGGCAGTTAGGGTTTTGGGTTTGAATCTTTGAATGGTGTATCAAGGGAGATTTCAAGCAAGTCATAGGAAGTAGTTAAAACCTATGGAGAAAAAGTGTGTTCAAGGGAGAGTCATGGGAGTCAGTGTCAGGGAGGGGGTCACTGAAGCTGTGAAGTGTGAGTAGTTCCAAAGAGGGGAGTCCCAGGACCATGTGCTGAGACAGACAACTCTACAGGTTCAGCGAGAGGAGGAAGACCTGTCAAATCTTCATCCAGGGGAGTAGAAATATCTGTGATGTTTGAATCACAGAAGCTCCTGGGAGTTTCAAGAAAGAGGAAGTGGTCGATACTGTCCGTTAACCAAAAAAAAAGTTTAAAACCAACACTTTCAAGTCTTTTCTGACTCATAGCAACTCTGGGACAGAGTAGAGCTGCCTTCTAGAACAGGATTTCCAAAGCTGTGACTCTTCACAGAAGCAGACTGCGCCAGCTTTCCTCCAAGGAGTGACTGGTGAGTTCAAACCACTAATCCTCCCTCTGGTTAGCTGCAGGATGCTGTAGCCGCTGTGCTGTCTCCTTGACTGTTGATGGGATTGAGATTTGTAGAAGCCACTGTGAGCCAAGTGAGAGCCGTGGAAAGCCAGATCAGTTTGCTTTAAGGAGAAATGGAAGCCAGAGAGGAAGGAAGAACATATTTCACTTTGTCCTGAGAATGTCTTGCAAAATGGGTATTGTAATCTCTTGCAGATGAGATACTAAGGTTGAGTGACAGTAACAAACATGCCAAGACTACGTAACTAGTAAAGGGAGAAGCCAGATTCAAGTCTGGGTGGGTTTCTGACTTCTTTACAGCACTTGATCTTAATGTCATAAGCAGCGCCATGTCTCCCAGTTTGCAGGTGACATTAACCCAGCTGTCCAGCAAAGTGTAATTAAGGGACTGTCTAAGAGGAAAGAGCAGCAGAAAATGGTGACAATCTGTAGAGACAAATGCCAAATCCTCCAAAGTCTGAAAAAAGAGTTGGTGACATGAGTTTCTAGCCGGTCAGAGCTGTTTCTTGATGTCTCTGGAAGACCCTGTTCTTTTGCAGCTTCTGCCAAAGCTTAGGTGACAGCTTGGCAGTGTGTGCCCAGTAATAATAGGCACCAGCACTTACTACTTAACATGGAACTCTGCCTACCTACCCCTGTAGCCCTTCAGCAGAAGATGTGCATGTAAGTGTGTGTGTGTGTGTGTGTGTGTGTGTGTGTGTGTGTGTCTGTCTGTCTGTCTGTCTGTCTGTCAGCCTGCCCTCTCTCACCATCCTCTCCCCTGGCCTCTTCTCCCTCCCAGGTTCAGTCAGTACTGGCCCAAGCTGATTATAAAAGACAGGAGGACATCCAAGGATCACCTATCTTGGGGCAGGAAGGATGAAACTATTTCTTTGTCCGATTCTCAGGAGCACTACTTTCTTTCTTAGTTAATATTTAATTTTTTTAAATAAATCAATGGTTTGAGAACATTTTAGCGTTTTGCACAGACACACACAAAGTAGACTCATTATCATTAATAGAAAATAGAAATTAAAATTACTGCAAGTCATGCCTATTTGTCTTATCAGAATTTTTAATATTACATGAGCAGACAATATAGAGTGTAGATGAAGACATGAAGCATCTAGAACTCTCAAATGTTGGTGGGAGAGTAAATTTGTACAACTCCTCAGGAAAAACATATCTATGTAAGCAGAATATTAAGACCTAGCAAGTCTATTCTTGAGTATATACCCAATAAAAGTAAGTGCATATAAACACAAAAAGACTTGTAGAAGTATATCCATAGTGTGGATACTTTTACTATTCATAGAAGTTCAAAACTGGTAATTAATCCAAATGTCCATCAAGAGGTAAATGGATAAAATTTAAAGTATCTCATGAATGAAGGAATGAACCACTTATCTACACGTAAATGGATCTGAGACTCAATGGGAAAAGGCTAGCTACAACAAGCCAATTCTATAGGTTTCTATTTACATGAAGTTCAAATACAACAAAACTTCTTTATGGTGACAGTGGTTAGGATGGTAGTTATGTTAGGGGGTACCAGTGGAGAGACGACATGAAGGAACACACACAATCTAGGAGCTTCAGCCACCCAGGAATTAGCTGATTTGTGAGAGTCTGGCCCCAGGACTCCACCAGCCCTCTTGTCAGCTCAGGGTATACGTGACCACAGTCCAGACCCAAGCAGCGAGGACGGAAGGACAGACAAGGGTGCTTCCCTGCGTATCTGCTCTTTGTCCTTCTGTCCTAGTTAGATCCAGGACCAATATTTACCCTGCAGATGGCAAACAGGAGAGGGGGGAGGAACCAGGACTGAGCTGGGCCCAGGGGCAGCAGCCACTCTAGCCTTAGGCCAAGAAAGACAGAAAGACAAAGAGGGAGGGGCCCTGCCACGGAGATCCAGGGATTTGGGCTGGCCTAAGGACAGCAGGTCCAGGATAGGCAGGTCCTGGAAGATGAGTTAAAAAGCCCTGGGCTTTCTCCTCCTCCCAGGTAACTAACTGCCCACAGACACATGTCCATAGCACCTAGTAGGAAAAAAGAAATGTGGCTGCAACACTAGGGCCAACATTGACTATCTGTCTCTAGCTTGGGCTCAGGTGTGTCAGGAATGACAAGGATGGCGCAGGGTAGAACAGAGTTCATCACTGTCGTTCATAGAGTCACTATGAGTTGTACGTGATTCGATGGCACCTAACACCAACAGCTCTTCTTGGGATAGGCGAGACCGCCTGCATCTGGCCATATCTTGACCACACCCTGGTCCTTTTTCTTGTATCTGCCTGTTGTGATTCCATAAACCTCCCCATTGATTTATATACATATACCAATTATTGCCAAAAATCATGTCTGTTCAAGTTAGTTCTGCCTCACAGCTGTCCATATGTGTCAGCATAGAATTTGCTTCATGGGGTTTTTAATGGTCTTTCAAAAGTAGATTGACAGATCTTTCTTCCTGGGAACTGCTTGGTGGATTTGAACCACTGACCTTCCTAATAGAAGCCAAGTGTAAATGGTTTGCATCACCCAGGGACCTTTACATTTATAGATTCTAGTACTATTCCCATTTTACAGATCAGAACACTGAGATACATAGAGATGAAAGCAGTCATTACAGTATGAAGGACTGGAAGGAGCCTCAGGAAGAGCTTGAGGCCCTCCCCACAGGCCTCAGTGGGGAAGGGACTGGGGGACAGTGGTTACACAGATCTTTCCTTTGTGTTCCTCCCAGACTGTCCATCTCTGGTCCCAGGAAGACCTGTCCCACCGGATGGCGGGGGTGGGCAGGCAGGACTATCCATCTGCTTGTCTTACAGCCCTGACCTAGTGACCTCTCCTTTTGGGCCAATTTCTACATGCTGCTAGTTCAACATTAACCTAGAGAGGCCAGGACGAGCTTTCAGAGTCCCCAGCGCTGACACACTATGGTGCACGTCCGAGGCCCGTGGCTGCCTGGCTGCCTGGCCCTGGCTGTCCTGGTCAGCCTTGTGCACAGCCAGAATGGTAAGGGGAATGGTGTTTGGTGGCTGGAAGACTGGGCAGGGCCATGGTTGGGGTCTCTTGGCTTAACAGAGAACACAGGGCTGGTCACGTGTGTGTGTGTGTGTGTGTGTGTGTGTGTGTGTGTGTGTGTGTGTGTGTGTCCCTGGGGTTCTCGGACCAAAGTATACAACTTTGGGACCCCCTTGGATCCTCATGACTGGGGGTTTTTCCCTTGCAATTTTGGCAATGGGCTGGTGGTGGCCAGTGAGAAGCGGGGAGCTGATGGGCCCTGTTTGGCTGCCTTCCGGATTCTGTTGCCATCCCAGGCACCCTTCTGGAAGGCAGCATGGCGGGCAGGGCTTAGTCCCTGGCTCTCTGAGGCCCCTGGCCCTTGACCCTCCTACTGCAGTGTTCCTGGCCCCTCAGCAAGCCCTGTCACTGCTCAGCCGGGTCCGCCGTGCCAACAGTGGCTTCCTGGAGGAACTGCGCAAAGGTAACCTGGAGCGGGAGTGCATAGAGGAGGTGTGCGACTATGAGGAGGCATTCGAGGTGCTGGAGTCTGCTGTTGACACGGTGAGGGAGCCGGCTTCCTTGGAGGGGGGTGTCTGACCCCAGGGCCACAAATGAGTTGAGGGAGGCACATCATAAGTTGAGTGAGTTAACTCACGTTCAACTCTAAGAAGCTGACTTATGTTCAGTTCTGAGCTCCATTTCACTGGGCTGATAAGGTGATCAGCCTCAGCCTTTAACCCAAACCCAACCCATTGCTGTTGAGACCCTTTTGACTCAACGCAACCCTGTAGGATTTCCACCACTGTCCAATTTATGGAAACTGACCAGCATATCTTTCCCAGTTCCTGGGGAGCCCTGAAGCCCTGCGCTTAGGCGTTATATGTCTGGAACTCTGACGCTTTTCCTTTCCTCGACAGTCAGCACCACTGTCCTCCCACCTACCCCAGCCCAGGAGACCCCTTCTCAGTCATGGTGAGGGATGAAGACTCCCCTTCCCTCAAATACTCTTCTCTTTAATGAACTCGACTTTCGGAAACAAAAGTAGGAAGCTCTTCACAGACCTTCCCAGAGTGTGGCTTCTTGGAAGCTGAGGGAGGGAAAAGGAACTTTCAGACCTGAGTGTGTTAGAACAAATATAATTAATAATAATAAGAAGAAGTCTCGGGCTCCTCCTCATAGCAGTCGTTGTTTTTCAGGAAATGTTCTGGGTCAAGTACAAAGGTAAGCACTGACGGGGTTTATTCCCATAGGGAAGCCTGGGAACCCCAGCTAGAGAATGTTTTACCTCTCAGAAATTACTGCTCATCCATCTACCCATTCATCCATCTCTCCACTTACTCATCCATCATTTCACCCACCATCCACTTACACATCCATCCATCTGTCCACCCACACACTCATCCATCCATCCATCTATGCATCCATCATCCATTCATCTGCCCATCAATCCATCCATCCATCCATCCATCCTTCATCCATCCATCCACCCATCCACCCATCCATCCACACATCCATCATCCGTCCATCATCCATCCATCCATCCACACATCCATCATCCATCCATCCATCCACCCACACACTCATCCATCCATCCATCCATCCATCCACCCAC